GGGATGGTTTGTTATGCAGCAGCAAATGAAAACACGTACTCTCTGACCCTACTCCAACTCTCCAACATTACCATTATCACCATCACCATTATCCGTTGCTAAAAATTCTCCTCTCCAGTTTTCTCTTCATGGTAGACTCCTATCTATTAATTCTCTGCTTATTCCTGACTTCATGCCTTAGTTCATGCTTTTCTCCTCTGCCTTTTCTCTTCTCTCCATGTAACTCCATGCTCTTTTTCAGGTCCATCTCAGGACTAGTCTTTCTTTCCTTTAAGCTTTCTTGTAAAATACATATTGATCTTTACCTACTAACTTCATAACCCATCTATAGTAAGTACTTCTGTAGTGCCTACTGTATAGTCCTTAGGTGTATTTTGTGCCTACTACACTACTGCTGGAAATACAGTTGTGAAAAAGACAGATATGGTCCCAATCCTCATGGAATTACAGTCTATGAGACATCGATATTAAAGTAATAACTGATCCTAGTTAAAAGTGAAAGAGGGACAAGAAAAGCATACCTCCAAAACAAATTAGAAGGGCATCTTACATAGTTGTGAAAGATAGCGTTTAGGAAAGACTTGTGTGAAAAAGTGACAAGCTTACACTTCAAGGGTGAAGAGAAATCAACCTAACTAATGCAGAGGTAGGAAGAAGTGCTAAGAGAGAGTGAAAAAAACAGCTTGTGCAAAAGTTCCTGCACTAAAGAGAACTTGGTAAAGAACCTTTCATAGATCTGAAAGGTTCTTCAGGTGAAGGCAATGTTATTACAGGGGGAGCAGAGGTGTAAACTATGAGAAAAGACAGACATGAACACCCACTAAGGTTCTACTGAAGATTTCAGAACTTTGGGAAGCTATTAAAAAACATAAAAATGGGGGTATGACAATCAAATTTTCATTTTTAAAAGACTCTGGCTGCATAATAGGGAATGGATCTTGGAAAGAGACAGAACACCCGCCAACAGGGAGTCCAGTTAAGTTACTGCCATCTTGGGGATAGACGAGTAGATGGCATGGACAGGAGAGATCAAGACAAGTGGTTAAATCTGAGATGAAGGAAGAACTGAAAGGGCTTAGTGAAGAACAGAAGTTAGGGGAGGTAAAAGAAAGCAAGAATGATTCCTAGGTCTCTTTCTCCCATGAGTAACTAGACTGATAGCCTAGGGACCATACATTTGTTTCATGGACACTACCTTGTACTGTGAACTCTCTTAACTCCTCCTTCTAGCTTACTACCTGATATATAATAAAGTAGCACTACACTGAAACCCTCTGGTAAGGAAGAGGTTCATTTTTATCACTATTATAAAGAACATAATTACTAGTCGTAACTGGAGGCATAAGGAAAATTTTAAAATATACGAAAATAAAGTATGAAACTATCAATACAGTATCTAAAATTACAAAACCTTGAAAAGCAAAAGAGGCAAGTGAGTACACTGGAGGACAGAGAGAGAGATAGAAAAGACTGACATTTGAAAGAAGCAATCTGGAAGAGAATGTTGAGGATCTAAAATGAGAGTAGGGAATGAATGAATGAATGAATGAATAAATAAATAAATAAATAAATAAATAAAATGAGAGTAGGGGATATAAGAGCTTATACTAAATCAGGACCAGGATGAGTCAGGTTCCTTCCAGCGTGAGCCACACAGATAAATTACAAAGTCTACCTGCTTTTGAAGTATCATTATCAAAATGCTTTCACTTCACAACAAAAATAAAAATGTTTATAGCCTAGTTCTACAACCCTGAAATCATTCAGATCCATTAAAAAATTAAATTACTGGGGCACCTGGGTGGCTCAGTCAGTTAAGCGTCTGCCGTCAGCTCGGGTCATGATCCCAACGTCCTGGGATCGAGCCTGGCATCGGGCTCCCTGCTCGGCGGTGTGTCTGATTCTCCCTCTGTCACTCACCCCATTTATGCTTGTGCTCACTCGCTCTCACTCTCTTCCTCTCTCTGAAATAAATAATCTTAAAAAAAAAAAAAGATTAAATTACTGAGGGCTGATTCTAGTACTGATGGGAGAGAAGTAATAAGAAGATGAGGGGAAATAATCTTTAAAGTGCATAGTCAGACTCAAACTTTTGATTCTCATGGCTAGATTTAAATACAGTGAAACCCTGCATTAACAAAGTTTCAAATAATAATAATGTTATTTGGATAGTTCAGTCTAGCCCCTTGGGCAAGCTAAAGTTTTATTTCTGGGAATGAATGTGGAGGAACGTGGGACTATAAAATGATAACATGAGGCACCTGGATGGCTCAGTTGGTTAAGCGTCTTAGGCTCAGGTCATGATCTCAGGGTTCTGGGATCCAGCAAGAGAAGGGCTCTGCACTCAGCAGGGAGTCTGCCTCTCCTCTGTGCACCATCCCGCTAGTGCACGGCTGCACATGTGCTCTCTAATAAATAAAATCTTTAAAAAAATATAAAATAAAATGACAACATTCAACTTCACATTATATATGACTGTCTTGGACTCCAATTATGGCATGATAGCAGGGATTTTCTGTAAGTTCAGAATTCTAATGGACATGATAGTCCCTAGCTGCCACATTTAACAAATGGTGATTCATTGCCAACCTGGGGCCTTCCTATCTTGAGGTTTGTGGGCAAACTGTGTGTAGAGGAGCAGTGTCCTCTAAGTCACACAGCCTCTCATTCAGTTTTTTAAAAAATCTGTTATTTCTTCACTGTTTCATGTTCTTTCACTCAGTAATCTTCATTTTACACACACTTCTCTCAGTAAAAATCCTGATGCAACCAATACAACCAGTTCTCATTTGTAAATCACTAGTTCCACCAGAGATAAAATGGGAGTTTCCATCCAAATGGGATTCTATGGCCATATAAATAAGGAACCTAAGCATAGCTAACATAAACTGACAGAAATGAGGCCTCACACTCTCCATTCTGTTAAAACAACAACAACAACAACAACAACAAAAAAACCCCACTGGCTTCCAAGCAAAGGTGTAAGTCAGTACAACCATCACCCACTTTTTGAAAGTTTGTCTTACTCCACTCTGCTTTTACAGAAGACCTACATTAGTAGCTATTTTTACTTACCAAAAGAAATCCGAGTTTTCGCTTTTATGAAAAAAGGCAAAAATGAAAATAGCATTCAGTGTTTGTTTGCAGCAAGCCATTACAGCGCACAACCCCAGCATTTAGAGTGTCACTGCCAAGCTCCTTCCCCGAGAACTACATTCAACATCTCACCATCAAGCTGCAAGAGCTTTGAACTGTGTCTGGGAGCATCTGTGCTTTATCTCTATTTATTTTGTGCATCTGTTAAGATATGTCCTAAGGCATCAGAAAAGCCTAAGAAAGGTTATTTTTTGGGTCTGAGAACACTCAAAAAAACTTTCCATATAAATCAACTGCTTCTTCACTATACACCATTTCGGCTTTAGGAAAGGTTTCATGGGAATGCTCTGCTTTCAGATACGGGGGCGGCGGGAGGGGGGAGAGAACCTGTAATGTAGTACATTACGAAGGAATGAGAAATAGGCTGAATATAGTGTTCAGAATAAAATCTGGGGCGCCTGGGTGGCTCAGTCGGTTGAGCATCCAACTCCTGATTTCGGCTCAGGTCATATCTCAGGGTGGTGGGATGGAGCCCTGCCCCCTAAGCCCGGAGTCTGCTTGTCCCTCTCCCTCTGTTCCTCACCTCTCCTCCCCCCACTCCGCCCCCATCACTAAAATAAGTAAATAAAATCTTTAAAGAATAAAATTCTGTTTTTCAGAAAAACAGCAAAATAGATACTTGGTAAATAAGAAATAAGATGCAAATGTTCTAGTAATGTAAGTACGTCTTGAAAAAGAAAGCAGCAACCCTTGCAGAAAAAGCCAGAAGTCTCATTAGAAGTCCCTTAAGCAGTAGCTGAACCAGTAAGTGGAGCCTACAGTGAAGTAGACAGGTAGACACAGTGGGGAGGCCGACACTACCGAGTGAGAATTGCACAGCTTTGTTTCAATAAAGATGGAGACTAATGTCAATATCCCCTGGAAAATGCAAAAAAAAAAGCAATATTTAACATCCATCAAACACATGTAAGTGGATATGAACAAAATGGAGACAAAGGAGTCTGCAAGTGGGATATACATGCAACATAACACAAAAGTAGTAACAATTATCTTTCGATTCTTCACCTTCGATATGCCTTTACCTTATCTTAAACATTCACAAGAACCTTAGCAGGAAACGACCTCATTTTATAGAAAAAGACACAGGCTCAAAGATGTCTAAACTCACCCCCAGAAGTATAAAGCGGCAGACCCGGCATAACAGAGAGATGGTAACTCCAAGACACTTCGTCTTCTAGCACGTGTGCGCAGGTTCGACGCCCGCGTGTCTCGAGGCACAAAACAGGTAAACACACCTACAGCCTCAGAACAGCCGCGTCACCCGCTCCAAGATGAAGTAGAGAAATTCTGAAGACGGGGCGACCTGCTCACTGGCCGCTTATTTAAAAAACGCCTACTCCAGGGCCAGAGACAAAGGACAGAGCGGTGACCAAACACACAAGGCCGCTCGCTGTCCGCACGAGGCTTACAGTCTTGAAGACTCTTCCCGCTCAGGACTAGGAGAAAAGGGCGCTCTGCTAGCGGCGCGGCAGGGGGTGTGTGGGGTGGCAGCGGCACGTGATGCCGGCCCCACAGGAAAAGACGCCAGACCCCCGCCGCAGCGGAGGGGCGTGGCACGCGGGGAGCTGGAGCCGCGCGGCTCCCGCACGGGAGGCACGAGGCGCTCGCCGGGCTGACGTGGGGGCTGGAACGTCGCGCGCGCGACAAACTACGCAAAAGCAAAGAGAGAACTCTCAAAGGATGGGATCATCAGCACTATGGCCCTGGCGGGTCCCTTGAGAGGACCCTCAAAGATGTCCTTTGGGGCAGGAAGTGGACCTAAAGTCCTCCTTGGCTTACCGCCGCCTGGGGGCCTTGGCTGCGGGAAACGGAGACAAGGTAAAGGGGGACAAACGGGCACTCACCGTCCATGGTCTCCCTCACCGCGTTCAGATTCGCCGCCGCTGCCGCCGCCGCCCCGGCACCGCTGCTACTCGCCATGGCGGAGGCCGAGGGAAACGGGAGAAGGGCCTGACCCGGAACTGGAGCGCCTTCCTTTCTCCTGGGCAATCACACCACGCGTCCCCCGCTCACGCCGGGCAGGCTCCGCCCCTCGCGCTCGTCGCCAGCGTGAGGCTGCGTTGATTTAAATTTGGAGCCTCGTTACTCTGCGCGGAATGCGAAGCGAGGAGTTGCCATTCGAATTTACTACGCGGCCTCGATGCGATTGGTTGGTTCGCGGACAGCGGTACGACGCGATTGGCCAGTTCCCCACAGGGCCCGTGCCCTGGTTGGACTAAGACAGCGCGGAAGCGGGGAGTTAAAGAGTCTATGCCTGTCGTGGGAGCTGACCTGGCCCCTCGGGAGCGCCCTGGAGTCGCCTATTGGGGGGGCTTCCTTTTTATACACACCACTAGGTACGTTCTTTGTAGTCCCTGGCCTTTCCTCTTGTCTTGAATTGGAGAGCTCACTTTTCCTTTCTCCCGACCCACCTGCCCACTGTCCCCGGGGTGAATGGGAGCAGCGAGGGACTAGGTGCCGGGGGAGGGGGGGCCAAGCAGTGATCGTGTAGGGTTGGGAGTGACACTGGCCGGAGTGTCCACCTCTGCACTTCACCCAAGGAAGCCAGCTGCTTCAGCCTTCCAAGAAGTAGATTCTTTCTCCCTAGTCGTATCCCCCTTTGACTGAAAGTAATGCAGTTTGGCCTTCTACCCTGGGCTTCTTAGCGAAAAGGAGGATATTTGAGGAGAGGCAACCAAAGGAGGCGGTTAATTTCCTAGTCCTAATCAGTCATACTTCTTTGAGGGGGGCTAAAGTGGAAGAAAGACACCCGTACACAAGCTTCGTTGTCACGTATTTGCTTGCTACAAATAATTGTAGTTTAGCAACTGTAGTTTAATAGGCAATTGCTGGGATATCCGAAGGATGTTCAAAGTCTTTAGAGACTTGAAATAACGAATAAATAACTATAGGTTTTTTTAGTTGAAAAGAGTTTTGTGTCTGCTATAACATTTAGTTGCCTCATTCATATGTGATTGACTGCTACTTATGTGCTACTTCTCTGAGCCTAAATCTTCTGCAAATGATTATCACTGATACTGTATCTCTCTAGCTTTAAAGGTTATTTGGAGAATCACTTTAGAAAATATATGTGAGGGGCGCCTGGGTGGCTCAGTCGTTAAGCGTCTGCCTTCAGCTTCCCAGGGTTCTGGGATCGAGCCCCGCATCGGGCTCCTCGCTCGGCGGGAAGCCTGCTTCTCCCTCTCCCACTCCCCCTGCTTGTGTTCCCTCTCTC